CCCATATTTGCCGCGACCTTCCCCCCTCTGATCTTACATATGCAGAGAACGTCGCAATTCTCTTCCAAGCCCCCAACAACCCACCCCACACATAGCAGCCGAGAATCCCAAATTCATCGTTGAAAACATTGTTGACACTTCTATTGCAGAAACTCCGAGATCGTGCCGTCATGAATCTTACCTAGGTACACGACTTCACATCGAAAAGTATCTGACGCCAATAAAAAGTTAGTTGGTGATGCATTGTTTCATGGATGAACATTGAACACGGTGTACTTGTTCTCTATTAATGTAGCTACTCAGCTTAGGTGCAATGAACAAAAAAATACATGTGTTTGAGTGGCATACTTTTGTTTTATCCCTAAAATGTGTGTGGTTTGTCGATTCCAAATCACTGAATTTGATGTATTATTGAGTAGAAATTCATAAAATCGCTACCCGGTAGGTCACCAGCTAATTACCCTCCATCATTGCGCACAAAAGAGAACCATGGCTTTGTTTGTTTTAATGCTCAATAACCCAGAAGGCAAATGTTTGTAACAGAGATCAACGTGAATAGAAAGTGGACACCACAAGCAAGGGAGTACATCACAACGCCGTGTCATGGTTGCCCCCTCTGTTTGATGGGTTCAGCTGCCGCCGTTAGCCGCACCCGTCAAATGTAGGCGTTCTCACGAGCAATTCACATTGTTGCGATGCTTCTAAAAATTCCTATGGCAAAGCAGGGTTAGCGTTGATGCGTCTCCTTGGGAATTTCTTTTTTGTTTGAAAGTCTAGTCTATCAAATGTTTCACTATATATCACTAAAATAAAATGCACGAATCTAACACGTTGAAAGGTGGATAAAAGAAGGCGAGAGGGTATACACTCTCATTGGGAAAAAGAAACTTGGAGAATACAGAGACAGGGGCATAGTGGTCAAATCGTCAGCCGTGGCTGCCCGCCACCTTCCAAGAAGACCAGCACGTATACATGGTATCATCATGTGCCACTCCACTCCAAGCTCACACTCCCATGGCCATGCATGTACACCCACCGAGCAAGCCAAACTAAGCTCAGCCAAGCCCAATCATCCAAGCTTCACTTAAGCAGACGCCAACGCAAACGATAAAGCCAGCGACCACGAAGCTCATCGTCTTCCATGCATCCGGCAGGTGAAGCACCACCTTTACTAGCGACCATCCAGGAAGACGACGAGCTGGCGAGCGAATCCATGAAGAGCGGCGGCGGGGTAGAAAGCTGCAGGTGCGAGGTGGAGGCCGTGGGCATCAACTACCACATCACCGTCTCCGCCCGGCCTCACCCGCTCAAGATATGGAGCAGGCCCGACGACCTCCTCCTCGACGCCGCCGGCGACCCCGCTGCGCCTGCGCCTCCGCCGGTCAGCCGCAGCAGCCGGTGCCGCCTCGTGCTCCGCAACGTCAGCTGCCGCGCCCGCCCTGGCGAGCTGCTCGCCATCGTCGGCCCCAGCGGCGCCGGCAAGTCCACGCTGCTCGAGATCCTCTCCGGCCGCCTTGAGCCCAGCTCGTCCAGTCCTACTGACCTCCGCGTCAATGGCTCCCCTGTCGACGCCGCCGCCCTGCGCCGCCTCTGCGGCTACGTCACCCAGCGCGACGTCCTCTTCCCGCTGCTTACCGTGCGCGAGACGCTCCATTTCAGCGCGCGCCTCCGCCTCGGCCCAGACGCGTACGACGCCGCCGCGGTTGACGCGCTCGTCGACGACCTCGCCCTGGCCCGCGTCGCCGACGCCAGGGTCAAGGACCTCTCCGGAGGCGAGCGGCGCCGCGTGTCCATCGGTGTCGAGGCCGTGCGCGACCCCGCCGTGCTGGTGCTCGACGAGCCCACCTCCGGCCTCGACAGCGCGTCCGCGCTCCAGATCGTCGGCGCGCTGCGGGCAATGGCCGAGTCGCGGGGCCGCACCGTGGTGCTCAGCATCCACCAGCCCGGCGCGCGCATTGTCAAGATGTTCGACGCCGTGCTCCTGCTCGCCGCGGGCTCCGTGCTCCACCACGGCTCCATCGACGAGCTCCACGCCCTGCTCACCGGCGCCGGCCTCCGCCTGCCCCCGCACGTGGACGCCGTCGAGTTCGCCATCGACTCCGTGGACGAGCTCCGCCTCCACCTCCACCTCCAGCAGCAGCAGCAGCGCGACCGCCGGTGCACGCTGCAGCAGCTCTTCCAGCAGCACAAGCTCCAGGCCCAAGCCGAGGACGACTCCTCCAGCACGCTCGCCGCCGGTGGAAACAGCAATGGGCAACACCAGTACGCCAACTCGTGGCCGGTCGAGGTGGCGGTGCTGTCGCAGCGCTTCTTCAAGAACGTGGCGCGGACGCGGCAGCTCTTCGCGTGCCGCACCGTGTGCATGCTCGTCGCCGGGCTCGCCCTCGGCTCCATCTTCTACGACCTCGCCGAAGACAAGGTGGCGGAGCGGGTCGGCCTCTTCGCGTTCCTCCTCACCTTCCTGCTCTCGTCCACGACGGAGGCGCTGCCGGTGTTCCTGCAGGAGCGGGAGATCCTGGCCAAGGAGACCTCATCGGGCGCCTACCGCGTGTCCGCCTACGCAGTGGCGAACGCCCTGGTGTTCCTGCCGTTCCAGCTGGTGCTGGCGGCGGTGTTCGCGGCGCCGGCGTACTGGCTGACGGGGCTGCGCCGCACGGCGCCGGCATTCTTCTACTTCCTGCTCCTCATCTGGCTGGTCCTCTACACGGCCAACTCGGTGGTGGCGTGCTTCGCGGCGGCGGCGCCGGACTTCGTAGTGGGGAACGCGGCGGTGCAGGGCGTGATGGGCTCCTTCTTCCTCTTCTCCGGCTACTTCATCCGGCGGTCGGCGATGCCGGCGTACTGGGTGCCGATGCACTACCTGTCGCTCTTCAAGTGGCCGTTCGAGGCGCTGCTGCTGAACGAGTTCGGCGGCAAGTGCGCGGCAAGGGCGATGGGGGTGTGCGTGGCGACCGGCGACGAGGTGCTCCGGCGGGAGGGGATCGGGGAGGAGTGCCGGTGGAGGAACGTGGCGGTCATGGTCGGCTTCGTCGCCTTCTACCGGGTGCTCGGCTACGCCGTGCTCCGCGTCCGCTGCAGCCTCACGCTCAGGGCCGCCGCGCGGTCCGCATTGCTGTCTTCCTCCTCAAACTACTCTGCTTGCTTCTCTGCATCTACCAGTACCAAAGCTTGAATCCGTTCCTTGCATGTGTTCTGTAGATCTTGCTATGATTTTGGTTGTAAATTATGGGACTTGTGATGAGTAGAGGGACTAATTATATTTCGTCTACATCATCCAACATGAATCACACAAGGCATTACCTACATATTATTATATGGGAAGCACTTATATTATATACAATGGATTAGCTTTAGATGTAATGGTTCCATGGCTCTAAAAGTACTCCATTTTATATAAAAAGATATTAACATCTCGTATAATGGAGAAAAATGTCCTATTAATTAACGGAAATTAAATTTGGCGAACGATCATCTTTTTTTCTTCCAAAAAATTTGTGCAGGGATCTTGGCGCAGGGCGAACGCCACGTAGATCTGCTGACGTCGTTCGCTGTAAAGTGTTCCCTAGCGAACGCTCGCTTTTTTTCTTCCAAAAATTTTGTGCAAGGTGTGCGATCAGGGAACTCAAACTCCAGACCTCCTATGGGAGACCCGCAGGCTCTACCAGTTGGACTGAAGCAGGTTTTGTGAATTACATGTACTGAACTTGTTTATATGTATTTGAAGCTAAATTCTTCTAAATTATTCATTTTTTCCTACAAAAAAAACCAAAATCCAGAATTTTTCCCATTTTTGAAAGAGCAAAAAATCCCTATTTTATAGAGTTTTTTAAAAAAAACTTGCATGTGCATTTTTATTATATGTAGCATGGAAATTCCTAGGTCTTTTTTTGTAATGCCTTACATGGCAAGCTTTTGGGAAATTTTATCACTTATTCAAGGCAATTTCGGAATTGCTATTTTGCTTTCTTACATCGCAATTTTAATTACTAAGCGCAAGGCATTTTAATAATTAATAACATAGAATTTTATCATTAAGAGGATGGCAATTTAATTACTAAAAGCATGACATTTTAAAATAAAATAGCATGATATATTCATTCTTAAGAGAATGAAAAATGTATGAGTTAGAGCGTGGCCTTTATATTTATTAATAACATGGCATTTTTATTATTACAAGGATGTCAGTTTTATGATTAACTGGATGGCAATTTTATTATTGAGAGCCTGCGATTTTTATTATTATTGGCATGGCATTTTTATTATTACCAAGATGCCAGTTTTATTATTTTAGAGGGTGTCAATTTTATTTTTATTGGCATCAATTTTTTTTAAAAAAAATCACTGACATGGAATTTTTTAAGATTTTTATTTTTATTGACATTTTTATCTTAATCATACAATTTCTGTAAATTTATAAATTGGCAAGGCTTTTTGTAAAGTATTTTTCATATTTTCATATCATGGAAAGTATACATTTTTATGTTTCTCTCTTTTTATGAGAAAAATATGTATTTTTGTCATGGTTATGTTTATTAAAAAATAGTAAACTGGGCCAATGGGGGATTCGCTCTTGCCCTCCCTAGAGCGAACGGCCTGAAATGTTCGCTGGAGGGCACCTTCATGAACACACAAATGTTCGTTGAAGGGTAACCCCCAGCTGATGTGTCCCAGCTATTAGGGTCCTAAATTAATTGCTAAGAAATTATGCAAACATTACCAATAAGGTTTGACAGCTAGGGTTAACCTTTAGGTACATTTTGCAGGTTCTACCAACAAGTAGGCTCAACACGTGACAGCCCAGGGGTGAGTGACAACAGCTACAAAGTCACCATTCAGTTCTACCCGGGACTATGTCACTACATAGACAGCGCTACGTCACACTGGAAAGGAAGGTCTCACAGAATTACAGTACATATTAAGGGCTCGAGGCCCAACATAGCTCGATAACATCATATGGCATGTTCGGCAACTCTGGTCATCATCGAAGCTCTTCGCCTTGGCTATTGGAGGGATGATCTTGTGAAGGAGATCATGTATCTCCCAAATCCCAACAATGTTGCGGATAGGAGGAGATCCTCTGTCACCACAAGCATCAGAATGATCAGTACTAGTTCCCAAACAATTTCTAGGAAAAACAACTGGAAGCAGTCATACAGCCAAATGCATGGACTGTCGGCTATCATTTAGTACATAGCAGTACAACAGATGTACTCCCTCCGTCCGAAAATACTTGTCATCAAAATGAATAAAAAGCGATGTATCTAGAACTAAAATACATCTAGATACATCCCCTTTTATTCATTTTGATGACAAGTATTTCCGGACGGAGGGAGTAGTTGATTACCCTGTTAATAAACATAACATCTTTATTAATGCTGTAATTCTGTAGGAAGAGATGCCATAATAAACAGTGAAATGTAGCATCAGATTGTAAAGTAAAAGATGAATGGAACAGGAGAGGAAAAGCAGAGTTACATACCTGCAGGGCCGTGGGCACCCTGAAGAAGACTATTCGCCGACAAAAGGCTTCCAGAACATGTAGGTGACCTGAGCAAGATCAGTCAAATCATTCCCCATTTCTTTGTTTGGTTAGGTAACTAGTCGTCCGCGGCAGATCCAAGCCAGGCAAGCATAATGCAAGGGAGAACCAAGCAGAATGGAAGAGTACTCTTCTGCCCTCTGCCTCTACTTGGAGGGAGTAGACAAAAATACAGTTTATGAAAATTTGAAACAAAATCATTCACGGCGTAGGGTTACAAAAATAGGGTCCAAGGCTAATAAAAAATATACTCCCACTTTCATTTCTGTATACATTCATTGGGTCTAATACACAGTAGCATCAATTGTCTACACAATGCTGTGTGTTGACAATGTGGAAAATACATGCCTCGGCACATGGTATAACCAAGGTGATGTATTTTCGCAGAGTATTACATAGTGGATGCACAACAGCTCCTGAATCTGTAAAGTTGAATTTCATCATACACTCTACATTATCCACAGCTAGAATGCAATTAATGTCTAGTGTTACTGTACTGTATATATCACCGAGGGAAACATGAGGGAACAACTGGTACTGAAAGAAAACTGCAGTGATCCCAGGCATCAAAACTAGTAAGCATCCACTCACAGATCCACACGCCGGGAACCTTCCTCCTCGCCGGCAGATGACTCAATATGAGGCTCAGGTACCGCCGCCGACGAGAGCCCGGCTCGTAACCCGAGAGGCAGCCTCGAGATGATGAGCCTCGCCACATTCTCCGCGGCGACGGCGCCCGTCTCCATGGCACTCGCGGCGCTCTCAAAGGTGTTCACGTAGTACAGGTGCCTGCCGTCCAGTATGATCGGTGCGAAATCCTCCGGGGCCTGGTAGTGGGGGTAAGCGGGCCAGTCTATCCGGATGGTCTCCTCCCTTGTGCTGTTGTACATTGTGCATTGCCACAGATAAGATAACAACTCCTTTTTTTTGCGTAAAAAAAATAACAGCTCTTCAATGAAGAAGATATCATGCTGGCACCAAAATAGCCTAGCCATGGCTACTTTAACCACTAAATGGAAAATTTGTTTATATTCAAGCTCTTACCTGAACATCTGATCCAACAAAGCATCCTCCAGCTTCGCACGTGAGAAAATTTTGTAAGTCATGTCATGTTCGCCATGCTTCTTCCGAACTGAGATGCACGAGAAGGGGATATCAGGGAGCTCCATGGTTCCTATTAGCTCTGGAATGTCGGACACTGAGCTCAGACCAAAGAATTTCTACATCAAAACATAACAGATAGCACAAGGTCAGTGGTTTTCTTTCTCGTGGTAACCAACCAACACTAGACAAGTTTAGTGCTTCAAAACAACATGCTACAGGAAGGAACAAAGTGCAAACAACACTTACAGGGTCCAAGAGGCCTCTGACAAAGGTTGTATGGGTATGCTGCATCTTCCTTGGTGGAATAGAGATCGGAGGGATAAACGTAATGTTCACCTCATCGAGGGGCGTTGCAACAACCGTCACCGTGCAGTTATACTCATGACCTTTATTCGATTTCAGAACATAGTAATCCCCTGCATCAGAGATTGACTCTATGCCTTCTTGGAGATGCAGAGTGGCGTTAGCAGTCTTGAGCAACCCAGCAGCTAGCTGCCAGTTGCCTCCTTTGATAGACCACAGTCCAGACTCGGAGCCAGCTAAAGACACAGCGCCCGCTAGACCACTTATGCTCGTGCTTTGTCCATAGTTGATCCTTGTTATTACCTGTCCGGGGCCGACAAGGGGGCATAACATCAGGAACATAGTTATCAGCAGGAGACTGAGGTTTTTTCAGAAGCTACTGAATTAAGATTTTCCAACTGTAATGGTATATGCTAGATCTTCCAGCCACATATCAGCAAATTAGTCCTGACCAATATACCATTTACAATATGTTTTGCTAGTAAGGTCTTCTGAAGATAATAATAGTCTTGAAGCCAAATAGATATACAGGATGAAAGTGGAAAGGTGGTTATTAACTGAAATGCGGGTTAACATATATTAATTCTTCATTAGTCCTAGAGTGCTACAACCTATATTTAAGATAATAGTCTTGAAGCCAACAGATATACAGAAAAAAAGTGGAAGGTGGATATCACCGAAATGTGGGTTAACATATATTCCAGTAAACGCAACTATTGGAGCATAGAAAGGACAGACCCAGTGCATAGAAGCTCCCACACAAGGTGGGGTCTGGGGAGGGATTATAGGAACCTAGTCTTACCCCTGCAAAGTGCAATGCAGAGAGGCTGATTATTTAGAATAGCTCAGAAATATTGCTAACATAGAAAACTGTGAGCTATCAGTTTAGATGAAAGAAGGAAATGAAACATACAGTGACAAGCTCTGATATGGTCTGAGTATTCAGCCCGGCATCAATGAGCTCCTCCTCTAGGGTCCTGCGAGTGAGCCCATAGAGGCCTGACCATTTGAGCATCTCCTCAACGTTGTCGAACACAGGCCGGGACTCGAATCCGTTGTAGTAAAGCATAAACTTTTGCAACATTTCCTGCATAGCAATGTGTGAGTATTAATTCAATGCACTTCACCATATGATTACTGAAACCTAGAGAACATGCGCACCATTTCATCCCAACTGAGAAAGAGGTAAAATGAAAAGCAGAGCCAGTTTATAAGGTAAAGGACGCAATCATGTCCACATAAAGATAACACTAAAACTACAAGTCAACCTATCAAGCAGACTAGAATTGTTTGCTGAGATCTCAAAGGGCCACAGTAATCAAGTTTAACTGAACTTGTACCACAAATTCCCAGAACAGAAGGCCGATAATCTAATTTGTGAAGCTGAAGTTTTGCTAGAACCGATAATAATCACTAATGGAGTACTAGTAGGAAGAGGATAAATGAACCTGCACGAAGCTGTCCATCCTGAGGAGCGAGAAGCCATAGCGTTTAAGCAGCAGGAGCGAGTTGGCGAGGCCGTGGAGCTTGCGGCGGAGCCAGGAGCTGCCGGGGGGCGGCGGGCGGAGCGTCTTGAAGACGAAGCGGGCGCCGTCCCAGATCCCGAGCCAGTCCTCGTCGTCGTCGCCGCCGGTCTTGGCGGTGAGGCCGAGGAGGTCGGCGAAGCGGCGCACGTGGAGGTTGCGCGGGTGGATGATGGAGCCGCCGGCCTCGAAGACTTCGCCGGCGACGGTGACGGTGGCGAGGCGGCCGCCGACCCTGTCGCGGCGCTCGAAGACGCGGAGCTGCGGGGCCGGGTCGGGGGCGGTGTAGTTGGTGAGGAAGAAGGCCGTGGAGGCGCCCGAGATGCCGCTGCCGACGATGCAGATGTCCTCGGCGGCGGCGGCGGCGGCCTGCGGGGAGGGGGGAAGCACGAGGAGGAGGACGGGGAGGAGGAGGAGGAGGAAAAGGGGCGGCATCGCCGGAGTCAACGGGTGGTGGTGGCGATTCGCCGCCGGAGTCGGTCGCCGCCGTTCACTCTTTTCTTCTGCGCGTGTGCTACACTTTTTTTCCTGTTAATTAACAGTGTCAAAAATAAAACAGGTTCGATACGACTTTTTTTTGAGACAAACAGGTTCGAGACGACTGATGACGGCAGTAATGCTCAAAAGTAAACTTGGGCAAACGTCGGTCCGGGCCGGCTTGTAAAAGCCCAACCTTTCTGTATCAAGCCCAAGCCTGAAATACGCGCTGTTTTCAAGCCCGAACCCAAAATGAAATCAAGCCAAAAGTCTGTGAATACATTTTTTTATTGTATATGCACGTGCAAGCCCGGCCCAAAACCCGAAAGCCCGACCTGAAATACAGGAAAAGAGAAGCCCGAACCCAGCACGAACTACCTTTCGGGCTGCAAAACAAAGCCCAAGCCCGGCCCCAATGGCAACCCGACTTTGGCTTTCTTGGTCAGGCTCATGTTGGGTTGCTAATGCTCAGGTCTACTCATAGGGATGTAAACGGCCCCGTTTACACCCACTAATGATCTAACAGTTTAATAAAGAATCTAAGAAAAACAAACTATTAAGCTAGCTAAGCTAACTAAAGTCGGGTCGGCCTGCCAATGCTCAGGTCTACTCATAGGGATGTAAACGGCTCCGTTCAAACCTACTAATGGTTTAACAGTTCAATAAAAAAATCTAAGGAAAGTAAACTATTAAGCTAGCTAAGCTAACTAAAATTGAAACCATATGCATACAAGGCTAAGAGACAGTTCTTTTCGGCTTGTTATTGGCATCAATAGTTTTCGGTGCCTTCACTTTTACCATCTACAACATCCATGTGTAAACTTACCAAAATTCTAAGCCATCAATCTATACCGCTACAAAAATTGTACTAAGCGGCCATCAATCATACAACTTGTACTCCATACAAAACAATCATCCAAAAATTTCACTAGCACACATCAAATTAGCATACAAATACTAATCATCAAGCATACGAGATCAGAGAAACAAAGAGAAGCAAGGAGATAGAGATAGCAGGCGAGTATGAGAGAGGACAAAGAGAGGGGAGAGAAGACGAGACAGAGAGAGGGACACAGAGGATTTGGGCAATGATCTGTGGTGCTTGTCTTTAATTAATCTTTTTAGGGCTTTGGTTTTGTAAGTCCATATTCTAAGTTGTAGATTGCCCTTTTTAAAATTTTGTTTTCTATTAAATATATAATATATAACGACCTAAAGCATCATAGCTCAATTTTCCATTTAGCTCTCTCCTAAAGACTAAAGTAACTAAACAAAAAAATCCAACGACAACTACCAAGCGAACCTGCAATGATCTGGCGGTGCTTGTATTTAATTAATCTTTTTAGGGTTTGGGTTTTGTAAGCCCATATTCTAAGTTGTAGATTGTCCTTTTTTTGGATTTTGTTCTCTATCAAATATATAACATATGACAACCTAAAGCATCATAGTTCAATTTCAAGTGTATGAAGTTGCTTCCATTTAACTCTCTCCTAAAGGATTGAAGTAACTAAATTCAATGAAGAGCAAAATAAAAACCAACCACAACTACCAAGCGAACCTGCAATGATGCAACAAAGAGCTGGCAGTGCATGTATTTTAATTAATCTTCTTAGGGTTTGCGTTTTGTAAGCGCATATTCAAAGCTGTAGATTGTCCATTTTTTTGGATTTTGTTTTCTATCAAATATAATATATATAACAAGCTAAAAGCATCATAGCTTAATTTCAACTATATGAAGTTGCTTCCTTTAACTCTCCCCTAAAGGACTAAAGTAACTAAATTCAACGAAGGACAAAATAGAAACCAACCACAACTACCAAACGAACCTGCAACGATGCAACAAAGAGCCGGCGACTGGATAAGAGCTATACAGCCATTAATAGACCCATAGATGAGAATCAATCAATAATTTCCATGCACTTTTTGTCTGCATAAAAGAGATCAAAATCCCCGGACTCCATTAACGAAAGAGTACACATATCAGTTCATCCGTACGTGCTTATGTTCATAGTACCAAAGCCAAAAAGAACAAAATCCAGATCGCACCCAAAAGTGCTGCTGCAGCTGAATTTTAGTGCACCTACCAACTGCCTATGTTTCTAATCATTCAGCTGTACATGCCTCCCTTCTGACTAGTTCTTATTTACTCCTTCCGTCCACAATTAGACGTATTTAGACATATTTTAGTTTTAAATACATCCATTTTTACCCATTTCTGCGACAAGTAATTCCGGACAGAGGGAGTATTCCTGAAGGCATCCAAAAGGAAGGAGACTGAAGCTCGCCAGTGCTGCTTCTGCATCACTCTTAATTGATTCACTTCATACATACTGACATCTATACACATACTTTTTTTTTGCGGGTGAAATAGCATTGTATTACTCAATCACAAGGTCCTTACAATCATCCGATGCTATTTCCACGACCTCAACTGGACCACCTCCTAACCAAGTCATGGTTCTACCTTGGGTTCTAGCAAAACTAGCTAAGCTATCACTAGCTTTATTCTGAGTTGAAAATACATGTTTTTCTTAGACCCAATAAGTACTTAATCTCTCTAACAATTGAAGAGTAAACCGAGCGATCCGTTCCCGAGCTTGATATAAGAGTGACCGCTTCAAGAGAATCCAGCTCCAACGCTATCGGCACGTCACATCGTTGTATCGCCAAGGACAAGCCCTCCATACACGCGCACAGCTCCGCCTCGAGGGGGTCTCTGCACGAATACAACACCCTGCAAGCGGAATAATTGATCGCGCCCATATGATCACGCAAGATCATACCCGCCCCAGCTTCACCTGATACAGAAAAGGATCCATCCGTGTTCAACTTGCACCACCCCAGATCTGGCTTCGTCCATCTTCGTTCCTCCTGCACTCCAGCACTACTCCCCTTCTTCCTTGGCATTCGCCATTCAACATATGATTTTCCCTTGGTAAGATCAGCTTGTGGGTTTTGCTTGATACCAATCAAAGACTCCAAGTAACTTTGCAGAAAGCGTACGGAGGCTTCCATCGGCGGGGCAGGCTTAGCATGAGTGAGCTCATTCCGGACAAACCAACTTCTCCAAAAGATCATTAGTATCATTGTGCGCTCAAGATCAGTAAGAGGACTCAGAACGTGTAGCAGCCATTCCTTGCCATTATTCAACATAGATGCGATGTCGGGAAGCCGCCATACCTTGGCCGTGGCCAGAAACAGATCACGACCGAATTGGCATCGGACAAACAGATGGAAATTATCCTCCTCTTCAGTCCCACACACTGGGCATAAACCACTAGTCTCCAGCCCAATGCGATATTTCCTCTGCCAGGTAGGAAGTGCATCGATTGCCATGCGCCATGCAAAGTGCTTGACAGTTGGGGGGGCTTCACACTTCCAGATGAAATCCCAGCATGCACGGCTCCCTGAAGGCGACGTGCTGGATGCAGTCGCAGTACTACGATGCTCCTCGTCAAAGGCCAATTCATATGCTGATTTGACAGAAAAAATCCATGCCGCCCAGGGCCCCATGCAATGACATCTCCCTCCATTCTAGGAGAGGCGCGAATCTTCAATATCTCATGCACATCTGCATCCACAAAGTAGTTCTGAAGGAGCTCAATATTCCACGACCCATTAGGGTTCAGAAACCCAGAGACGAATCGGATGCGGCATTGTCCTTGCGGAGAAATCGGTTTATAAGAGAAGGGTCTCGGGATCCAGCTGTCTCTCCAAACCCTTATGCTTGCACCGTTTCCAACTCTCCACAGCAGCCCTTTTTTCAACAGCTCCAGACCATGACATATAGCTTGCCATGAAGATGAACCGTTTCCAGCAAAGACTGTATCTTCCAGTTTACCATCCGGATAATAACGTGCCTTTAAGACCCTGGCACAAAGGCTATCAGGCTTGGTTAGTAGCCTCCACGCCTGCCTAGCCAACAGAGCTTGATTAAACAACCTGAAATCACGAAAGCCAATACCCCCCCTGTCCTTGGGCTGCATGAGATGATCCCAATTCTTCCAGTGTACCTTCCTCTTGCCCTTTGCCGACCCACATCTATACGCATACTAGATGAGACGGGTGATCAATGAACAGATCAATACATTTCACGCGTAGTTTTTGGTTTGATAAATAGAAACGGACAATAACAATCACAGAATTTCAGAAAGGGAAAAAGGCAGTTCATTACTAGTACCCGCCTTCTGCTCTTAGTACCAGTGCCAAAGAAGAGGACATAGGCTGAAAGCAGAAAAACAATCCAGATTGCAAGCAAAGTCGGGAGTACACAATTGAAATTTCATGCAGCGTTCAGCTTGTACGTGTCTGGCTCTCCCTTCCAACCGAGTCGTGCAAGATCTCAGAAAGCTTCAAAGGGAGTGAAAACGAAAAGATCCTGATGGATTACCACGCCGAGCGGATCGATCAATCATCGTGTCACCAGGTCTGGCACTATTTATATTCATAGAAAGGTGAGGATATGGCGGAACTCATCTCTGCCAAGGTGTTGTTTTGCAGTCACCCTCGCCTCCGACGTAGTAATTGTCCCACTCGTCAACATTAACAGGCTCGCTGAACGAATGGATATCATCGTTAAATCCATTGGCATGTACCACTGGATATATTACCATATGTTCAAGCACAGTAGCATTCCCGAGGATGTAGAGTGCCAGCTCAAGTAGCCCGAATACGTGACAAATTCCCGACATGTCGACACTTCTGAGGTGACCATGTAGAGGCCCCTGCACAGCTCTCACCATCTTCGGTTCAGGAAGCCAACATGTAGGACCATTCGTAATAATTTGCGTGCATATATCCATTCATTTCAATATACATATATGTTCTAGTGTCGAGATCAAACATAATAGCACAAAATGTTACTGTCTCTGATCCATGTTAATTTTCGCAGCTTTAGTACAACTTTGTACTCTACGTACTAAAGTTGTGACTATTAATATGGATTGGAGGGAGTACCA